CTGTCCCGTCAGGAAGGCAAGTTGCAGGTTCCTTCTGCAAGGTAGCTTCATCTGATGGGACCTGGGAGATGAGAGGATTTTGCTGTGGCATCTGTCCTCTGGACCATCATCTCTTCCAAAGTGAAATCTGCCCCAATCCTTGTGAGTTTCCAGAAAAACCTTTAAAATTTGCCCCCCGCAACAAACCTGGAGAATGCTTTTTATTGTTTTTAATTGGTTTTATGGAATCTTTTAGTTGCTGGTTTTATGCTATCCAGAGTCAGTGTGTGTGAGATGGGCAGCCATATAAATTTGATAAAATAAATAAAAATATTCTCTGACCATTCCCCATTGGATGGAAACATTTTTTAGGATGCCAAGCTGGCTATCAATTTCATTCCCAATATGTTTCAGTTCCGTTTAAGTGTCTGTACCTGATACTGGCTGATAGACAGAAAGGAATTGTAATTTGCTGCTCCCCTGGAAGCTAATGCCTATGAACAGGGATTGGTAGTGGAAAACTAAGAGGATTTAGCAAATTAGCTGCAATTTACTGAATCATAGGTCTATAGAAGTATGTTGCACTGAATGTTAGTTTTCCTTTTATATTTATATAAGGATATTTTTACATGACACACTTTATTTTTCAAATGATCAAAGACTTTCAAAATAAACTAGCTAACATATGCCCCAAATCATTTGAAGAAAAATGCAGAACTCATAATGATGTCGACTGTGATTTGGCTGATGGCTTAGAGTAGTGGCCCCCAATTTCTGGGCACCAGGGACCAGTTCCGTGGAGAGAGGTTGTTCCTTGGAAGAGAGGGGAGACAGTTTCTTATACTGCCTTCATCTAGAGGATGGGAGTTCCCTTGATTGTGCTGTCTGGTTGCTGGGTCTGTTTGGGGACCCCTGGCATGGCTATCTCAGAAATTCTGGGAGTTGAAGTCCACAAGCCGTAGTTCCCCAGCACTGATCTAGAAGACTCAGCTGCTGCTATTACCGCTTGGGCAAGATTTTGCATGAATGATCTTCAACAAATTTTAAAGTACGTCCAATTATTACAGTATTTTGTTCCAGTTTACACCTCTGATGTTCTGGGAATTCAGATAGTGTCCTTATAGCCTTCAAAAATAGTTTCCCAGAATTCCTGAAGAGGAAAGCCATAGCATTTCAGATTGGCCAATGTTTATCTTTACACAACTCACATTTCTTTCTTCTCTGTCATGAGATGCTAGAAAAAGGCCACACTAACTTAAACACAGAAGTCTAGCCAGCTGGTTTTCTTCATTCATCAGAATGCCCACATTTCCATAAAAGATGCCAGCTCTCCTGTTGATACCAGTATCATCCTGGTATTTATGTATCCTTCTTCCATGTCTTTTCCTGGCACGTGACATATGATTTTTCCTCAAAGGTTTGCCTAACATCACTCAAATGCTTCTTCCTTCCTAGTAGGTGGTCCTTTTATATTGTCATTTTCAACAAGCTAATTCTTTTATGCTCTCAACTACATTTCCCCCCTTGTTTCATTTGCTTATTCAGCCAGCTTCCAAAAGGATTTTATTGTACTTATACTACATAAATAGATGACTTGGAGGACAGAATGGACTGGAAAAATGCAAGTTTTTAGTGCATTCTTGTTTGAATAGAAGATAATACCTGTAGTTCAGAGTTGAACTGTGGACTTTTTGGTGTTCCCTGAGCTTGGTAGTTGGCTTGCAGAGATGTTTCATTTCCCAAATAGGTAACAATATCAGTGTGAATGAGTGTGGTGTTTGTTATCTGTTTATATTCAGTAGCTTGTTTTTTTAGGGAAGTCCATAAACTCAATGTTTCATTCATGTTTATAGGCAATAATGAAAGAGACCCGTGGACGGGTAGAAAGGGCATTTATTTGGGTAGAAAGGACCTAGATGAAGCAGAAAAAATCTTAATAGTTTTGTTTGGTCAGCAAATATCTCAGGGCACTGAGGTTGATGAAACCAACATGAATGTCTTTTATAATGTGCTACATTAACTAATACTAATTTCCTAAATCATGCATACTGAGACGGATTAGTCATCTGAAATTATTCCAAATCAACATTTATAGTAATATTTTATGTGAAGAATTTTTCATTGTAAGTTACAGATCTTTTTTTTTTTTAACCCTACAAAATTCTAGTATAAAGCATTAATTTTCCTCAACCAGAGATGCCAAACTCAATTTTATTGAGGGCTTCATCAGGGTTGTGTTTGACCTTGGGGGGGAGGGTGTGTGTGTATGTGGTTAGGGTGGGTGCAGCCAGATTGACATCACTTGTGTCGGGACGCCTGTGGCAGCCCAAGTGTTCTGCCAGTGAAAATGGACTCCTGAGCTCCATTTTCAGCTATGATGGCCTCCTGCAATCCTCTGTCAGTGAAAACAGAGCACAATTCTGTTTTTGCTGGCACAGGCACTGCAGTCTGGCCCTTTGTTTCCAGGGCAGCCCTGTGGGCCAGATCAATGGTGGTATTCAATTTTTTTTCTGTGGGCATGGCTTGGTGGGTGTGGTGTGGCTTGGTGGGTGTGGCTTGGTGGGCATGGCAGGGGAAGGATAGTGTAAAATCCCCATTCCCTCCCCACCCCACTAACCTGCTTTTCAGCTCCTACTCAAAATTTTTGCTACCGGTTCTCCAGAACCTGTCAGAAGTGGCTGAATACCACCTCTGGGCCAGATCTAAGCACCCAGTGGGCCTATCTGGGCCTTGAATTTTATATCCCTGGCCTAGACCATTCCAGTTTTGCATGAGTCCATTGGAGTTTGGTGGCTATAATAAATTTAAGGAATGAATAAAATAAAAGTATAAAAAATAATGTTTATGCAAGGAGAGCAAGGTGGAAAACAATTACATTCATTTTTAGTACATTAATACAGAGTATGAATCTGCTTTACAACTGGCTGGGAACAATGTAAGAGGTCACTCACTGTTTCAGTGCTAGAAAGCATTTGGTGTCAGCATTCAGTTTTTAAGAGAACAAACCTATTAAACTTATTCCATTTCTATACAATATCCATTTTGTTGGATATTATTACATATACTTTTATTAACTTCATAGTGGACAAAAATATCAGTTTATTTGAAATCATGTTTACTTAAAAGAGTGGGCCAAACACAGTTCTTTTTATAATGTAATTTATCATTTTTTTGACTCACTAGATGGGCCAAGTTTAGTTTTGCGGTATAAGTGAAAATGTCATCTTTTCTCTAGCTAAACGGGTAAAAGGTGTTTATGTTATATGCATTTAAAAATGTTTACATTGCATGTTCTTTATGTATTTGAATCATTTCACATGGTTCCATTCCAAAAGGAACAGGGATCATTTGGTTTCTTTGAGGTACAGCTGCTAAAGTAAAGGGCGATTTGCTTAATGCATTACTGGAGAGAAATGCCCAGAAAAACAGTAATTTACTTTGCAGTTCAGGGAATGAAAATCTGTTCTTCTGTTATGGAATGTATTTTTGGATGCAGAGGAAAAATCTAAAGAGGTGCAACTGCTAGATCCCAGCTTCTGGAATCTGTACTTATATTAAGAAGGGAATTAGAATTCCGTATGCATTATGGAATTCATTTTGTCAAATGCATGCACATGCCTTTCTTATGAAGAATTTGAAAGTTCCCTTCACAAACCATGAAGTTAAATATTTGATGATATTGTCACTGTTATAAAATTTGCAGGTTATATCTTTTTTCATTTTCCATTCACACACTCCCATCTTCTTATTTCCACCTGTGTTTTTCACGAATTGCTATTGTTCTTTGGTGAGTATTTTCCTGTTCATCAGAATAGATTTTCTATTTAATAAATGTTAGTGACTGAAACCGAGATGCTCATGTGCAGTAGAGTGGTTCCGATTTTGCAAGAAAAAAGTGGCACTCTTACTGACTTCATCCAAACAAAAAAATCTGTTTGTTACATCATGAGCTCTGTCCTTTGCTTTTTGTGGTCTTTCTATATTTTGCTAAATTGAGGCTTTTAAGAAGCATCTACATTGAGGAAATTAGTGTTTGGAAATGCACTGTGCAGTGTTTCTCTCTTGCTAGGTTAAAATTAGTTTCAACTTGTTGCCCTTAACATAGCACAAACCAAAGTTAACTTTTGCCAAAGTGTCAGTTGTGATTCAAGCCTCTTCTTTTGACTTTTACTTATTTAATGGAATCTCTTGATTTAGATAGGCAAGATACTGTGTTTTCTTAATGGCATTGGGGAAACATTCTTTTTTAGGTCACTTTTGTAGAATTTTCAGTCTAATTGAAGACACAAGGTTCAGCACTGATGATATTTCTTGTTTAGGAAGAAAGAAAAAAAAAGAACTATGATTCTGCCGGGTTCATGTGTAGACTTTTGCCACCTGCAAATGATCTTAAAACTCCTGCTTTTTTTTCTTGACTGGCTAGTTTTTCAGTTACTGTATGTATGTATCTTGTTACAGGATTACAAAAGTTAAAAATAGATATAATTTGCCTGAAAGAAATTCATATAAAAATCAACATAAATTATTGGACTGTCCCAAAATTGGAAAATTATATTTTTCATCAGCACAGCAAAAAGATGGGTAGCTCTATACATTAAGGAAACAATAAATTCCAAATAAATATATGCAAATGAAGAAAGCATTCTCCATTTCTTATATGCTGTTTTGGTTGATCTGAGTTTCCAGAAATTACTATGCATCAATTTCATTGATTCCTCTTCTTTTCCTCCCCCTTCCTCCTCATTAGTTGAAGTACTTGCAGGAAGACAATATTCAGATTTGGGTTTTCCTTAAGAATGACTGGTTCTTCTGCAACTCTATTATTCTCTGCAGAGTTTAATAATTTGCCTCTTAAATGATAAGGATTTATTTGTGGGTAGAAGACAAAAACTGCTGTTGTTCAGTTTCCCAAATTAATATTCCAACTTTTCATTTGATTACTTTGTTTTGTATCCCTATATATAAGGAACAGGAAGTCCTACACTACTTACGGAAATTGTTCTCCTTTTCATGTTCTGCAGGTAACCTTAGGTGGGACCTTTATTGGCATTGGACGCAAAACTCCAGATTGCCAAGGGAACACCAAATATTTCCGCTGCAAGTTCTGCAATTTCACCTACATGGGCAATTCTTCAACGGAATTGGAACACCACTTCTTGCAGACCCATCCGAACAAGATCAAAGCCTCCCTTCCTGTCTCCGAAGGCAGCAAAGCCACAGACAGAAACTCGAACAAGTCCAGTCCTACTGTTCGATCGAGTGAGATGGGAGATTTGGCGAAATGGCAGGACAAGATCACCATCAGATGTGGAGATGACACTCCAGTTGGCTACTCGGTGCCCATCAAGCCTCTTGAATCCTCAAGACAAAACGGTACGGATGCCTCCAGTTACTACTGGTGCAAATTCTGCAGCTTTAGTTGTGAATCCTCCAGCTCTCTCAAACTGTTAGAACATTACAGCAAGCACCATGGGGGGAGCCAGGCAGGGGGCCCTCACCCAGATCGGAATGACAAGCTCTCGAGGGGGTCAGTCATTAATCACAATGACGTAACCAAAAATGCAGACGGAGAGTTAGCAACAAAGAGCGAGAAGGGCTCTAGCGTGGCCAAAAAGAAAGACTTTTCCAGCTCAGGAGTGGAGGACCACGTGGTGACGAGCTACAATTGTCAGTTTTGTGATTTTAGGTACTCAAAGAGCCATGGCCCAAATGTAATAGTGGTGGGGCCTCTTCTTCGTCATTATCAGCAGCTACACAACATTCATAAATGTACTATTAAGCACTGTCAGTTTTGTCCCCGAGGCCTCTGTAGTCCAGAAAAGCACCTTGGAGAAATTACTTATCCTTTTGCTTGCAGGAAAAGTAATTGTTCCCATTGTGCTCTCTTGCTCTTGCACTTGTCCCCTGGGATGCCAGGAGGCACCAGAGTCAAGCATCAGTGTCACCAGTGCTCTTTCTCCACCCCTGATGTAGACGTTCTCCTGCTTCACTATGAAACCACACACGAAGCCCAGGTGTCTGAAGTCAAGCAAGAAGCAAATGCCCTGCAAGGGGGGGATGGACCACTGACTGTCAAAGAAAGCAAAGAACACTCGTGTACCAAATGTGACTTTGTCACTCAGGTAGAGGAGGAGATTTCTCGACATTACAGGTAAAAGTCTGTGTGTGGGCATGTTTGTGTGTGAGAGCACATGTGCATTTCTTAACATCTTCCACATTCATGTGGTGAGTCTGGCCTAGAGTGTGGAAACTTTAGATGTTTGCCCCGTCACCCATCCCCTTTATATATAATTGAGAGATGATAAATTAGGCATAGTCCAAATAAAGGTCATGCTATGGAGCAATTGGGGTGATGCAGCTCCAATCCAAGGATGCCCAATTGGGGTATTATCTGATTCAAAAGGTTATTCATATTGCTATCTATATCTAGATTTTATTTATTTATTTCATTCTGAACTTTTTCTATCTGTAAGGCAAGAGGCTTTGCGATACACTTTACTTTCACAAAAGGAGACAATGTAGTTATTTAAAACACCAAAGTAACAATAAGCTCTCTGGTGTGTATCTCATAAAATACAATTGGAGGCCTTAGGGCAGACTTGTGTAAATAAATTGGTCTTGTGGACTTTCTGAAAAGCTTGACAAAGGGGCATAATGAGTCACAGATTCAGTTCCTTATAGACATGAATCCTTGCATTACAGATTTGATCCCATATCTTTTCATCCTTTAGCTAACTAACATATATACATCTTGGAAATAAACATGCAGAAATGGAACTAAATGACAGTAACTTCATTTTTGTAAAAAAGTAAGCCAAAATTAGAGAATTAACCAGGAACCATAAACTGCAAAGCAGTCCCTAGTTGGTCAGCCACTTGAGATGAGATGCTACCCTATTTCCCCGAAAATACAACCTACCCTGAAAGTAAATCCTAGCTTGATTTTAAACGTGCACCCAATATAAGCCCTACGGCCAAAATAAGCCCTAATTAAGACCCCGGCCACTCCAGAGTGCATGGGTAAAAATTAAGCTAGGGTGATGATGGGGGGATACAGCTGACCTACTATTTACCTTGTAGCCTGGCCCATTTCTTCTGGCAAGGATGGCAAGGCTTTCCTGAAGGCCTCTGTAGCTAATAACAAAGCTCTGGATCGATCTGGAACTCTGTTAGCTGCAGAGACCTTCAGGAAACCCTTGCCAGCTGCAGAAGAAGTTCCTGAAGGCCTCTGACAGCAAAAAGGAGGACAGGGATTACATGCGCAAGTGAGGTTACTCAGTAGAGGACATCCCCAAAAATAAGACCTGGTGCTTTTTTTGGTGAGAAAAAAATAAGACATGGTCTTATTTTCAGGGAAACACAGTATCTAAAAGAGTCAATACAAACCTCTGAACTACTATACAAATTACTATATCACATGTAAATAAATTAATATGCTATCAGATACTCCATTTTCTAGTTTGGTTATTGTTGGATTGGAAGAAGAACAGGCATTTTTACCCAAGCAGAGAAACTTGGAAATCATACAACTGGAATGCAAATATCAAGTTTAATGCCTTGAGAACATATTTAACGTACACCAAGAAATGAAACAATTGATATAGTCAGCTCAATGTGAAATGATTTGCTTTATTATACAGTTCCCCCTTTTTTAATTCAAATAGCCCACTAGGAGGTAAAAATTAGTATTTAAATATAGTAAGCTTAAAAGATGAATGATAGCTTTTAGGCAGGGTTAAAATATATTTTAATAAGGCCAGCTTAGGAAAACATTGGAAAATTAGAATACAAAGCATTTCTTCCATTTAAATGAAGGTTCTAATATTTAAGTGTTATTTTTAATTTTTGTTATATCTTGGGTGATTGTGAATTGTGGTTGAAAATGTTCCTTTGATATTTTTATTCTGTATATCTCTCTGTGTGTGTTTAAATTAAAATATAGCTTCAGAGGAAATGTTTCTTTTTCTTAATTCCATAAAGCAGAAATTTAAATGGCAATGTTCAATTTAGTTCTTTTAGTTATAAAAAAAAACCCTGATTGTCATATTCTTCCCACTGACGTCAATGGTAGATAATGCTGTTGAGAGGGGAAAAAACATACCACTTGTTTAGGTGTCTAAATATGTTTTGGAAAGCTAAAATTGGGCTTTTGAGTTAAAAAAAAAATTGGCTAGATTTCTATCAACTTTCTGGCACAACAAACCAGTATTTATGCACACACTTTCCCTGTCTTCTCATATGCTTACATATATTTTACTAAAAAAGCATCTGAAAACTTTTTTTGAAAGCAGCTACTCTGTAAGATTTACATGGCTACTCTTCTCATTGTTTCTCTTTATTTGTAGCTAAGCTTGCTTACTTTCATTTTAGGATAAAATAGGGAACAAAATTATTTTAAGATAGATTAAATATGATAAAAACAGTTAACTGACTCATTTATTGAGCCAAATAATTTTTGTCTGTGTTTCTGGAAATTTTTGTGGGGTTTTAAAAACCCCCCAAATTCAAATCTTTTTAGATTGCAAATAATAAAATCATAGCAAACTGAAAATTAATTGACTTGTGCAACAAAGAACAGAGAATTTTGTGAGTGTCTTCTCATACTTATGTTTTACTGACTTCAGTGAGATTTTCTCCAGGTAAATGTATTTGGTTATGTAGAGAAACATTGGCTTTTCAAAAATTTTTAGATTATCCTTTCCCTTATCTTAAAGTTTTGATGGGAATTAAAAGTTAACATTACCTGCAGAACTACAGCTTAAATATAAATGTTGAAGCTTGAAGCTGGAATCTTAGGTTTAAGGTAAGACTTGATTAATACAGCTGGACCAAGATAAGATAGCAATAGCAATAGCACTTAGACTTACATATCGCTTCACAGTGCTAAGCACAGATGCTTAGTGGTATCTTGTAATAGATTAATTAGGCAGGAAATACTTAGTATTCATGAATATCTGGCAAATCAGAGCATATGACATCAATAAACCAGCAATGAAAACTGCAAGTGACATACATATTTCTGTTTTTACTTACATATATGATTTGTATACGGTAGCACAGTGGTTAGAGTGCAGTACTGCAGGCTATTGCTGCTGCCTGCCGGTTGCCTTCAATTTGGCAGTTCAAATCTCACCAGCTCAAGGTTGACTCAGCCTCCCATCCTTCTGAGGTGGGTAAAATGAGGACCCAAATTGTTAGGGACAATATGTTGATTCTGCACTGTGAAGTGGTATAGAAGTCTTAAGTGTAATTGGTATTTATATAGTTGCCATGTCATACACGTAGGTGACTCTGGGCAGTGTACACAATAACTGATGTCCAAGGATAAAACACTACCTCACTCACCACCACCAAAAGAAACAAAAAAAACAAAACAAAAATAGCAGCATAATGTATAGGAGAAAATAGCCACTATATGCAAAATCTGTTGCATTGAAGTTTTGCTGACATTCATGCTTCACTGATTGTAGAATGCATTGTTTTACCTAGGCATCTATGAATGTGCCTAAATACTGAATTGGGAATAGTGTTTAAGTCCTTGTGCCTTCAGAAAGTATTCTCAATATTGTTCTATTTCACCTTGACAGTTGTTTCTCTGACTTTTGGCAGATTAGTATAAATCTGATATTTCTGCTGCTGATCAAGAAAGAGCTATCACTTTGCATCTACCTTCCCTTTCCCTTTCTATACTAATTTCCTTTCCTTTTCTTTTTGAGAATTCTGATATATGTGGCTCTTTATGACTGGTACTAAAGATCCCACAGCAGTAACTAAATAGCTGTTTATGGTCCAAATTTAAAAACTCCTAAAAAGTTTGATTGGATTTTGTATAGCATCAATGTCACAACTAGGATGAACATAAAGCTGCATATAATTGAGATGAATGAAGAAAGTACGGAGATATTAAACAAATTGAAAATGTGATTAAGACTATGCTGTCAATAGATGTGGTTCTGATTAAAATTTAGTTTAAATCCTGATTATTTTTAGTTTTTAATCTTTGCAGAATCCCGTAAACATAACAAAGCAAAAATAAAGTATTAATTAATATCAGTGGCACACTACTTTATCTGTACTGAAGCATTTTTTAAAAAAAAAAATCAGTGTGGTTTACCATTTTTTTAAAAAAAAAATTCTACTTTTGAATACTCAATTGAGGTTATGTAGATTGTCCTTCAATTATTTTGAGAACTTTAAGTGTTCAATTAAAAAAGCTATAATTATAACATAAAAGTAAACATACTAATATTTCTTGTTTTTTTGTTGCTTAGTTCTTTGCTTCCCTATCTCTTGCTTCCCATACTTGCCATGTAAGCATTCTGTTCTCTATTATACATATAAAGCCAGGAATTCCAATGGTGTGTCTAAATATTGAAGATATTTATATTTTATTTATTATTAAACTTCTGTGCTTCCCATCTTGCCAAATGACTCAGTGAATCCAACATGAACTTCTTTGAGAATGAATTGGCACAAGCTTCAAAGCTTTATTTTGCAGGTCAGATTTCCCCGTCTGCCAAAATGGTCGTACCATAGTCCACTGAGTGTGATTAAGTTGGAGTATAAGTATACCAACTGTATTGATAAGTACTCACCATTTTATCTTCTAATGACCAAAAAGGTCTTTCAAGATTATTCTAATTAACTCCTTGATTATCTCCATTCACTATGTAGGTTGTCTTTTTAGTTTCTCTTGGTTGTTGATAGCATATTTTTTAATCTATTGTCTCTTACATGACATGATATAACCAAAGTATCTGAGCCATTACTTGCTAATTATTGCTTTAAGGGAATAGTCAAATCATTATTTGGTCCAAGATTAAATGATTCAGTGTTCTTGCAGTCTACATTTCTATTGTCTTTCCCTTGCTGTTTTTTCAGACCTAAGATTTAATTGCCATACATTGCCACCTTGTTGCTACAGCTGCTTTGCTCTTTATTTTAATAGAAGTGCCCTTATCCATCGTGATCCTGTCTAATTTTGTAATTGTCTTTCTCCCAAGAATTCATCTTTTCTTCAGTTCGCCAGCACATTGTCCATCTCAAAGAATCAAAATTATCCTCTACCTTCACTAAACATCAACTAAACATGTTCACATAAAAATATTACATTTAACTGTTGCAATTATTAAGAATAATTCAAAATCCCCA